GAAGCCTGCTTCTCCCCTCCCACTCCCCCTGCTTGTGTTCCCTCTCTCGCTGTGTCTCTCTCTGTCAAATAAATAAATAAAATCTTTAAAAAAAATAAAAAATAAAAATAAAATACAAGAACAATGTTTTATTCATATTTTTCTGAAAGCCCAACATGGCAACTTTGATTAAAGTCTGGCACTTAAAAAATTTTTCTTATATAAAAATTACTTATAAAATTACTCTTACATGGAAAATTATTTTTCAACATAAACTTTTATCTTCATTTGCCAATCAAATATATTGTGCCCATCTGTTGTTCTATGTGTGTTTTGGGGTTATGATTCATAAACACACACTTGTTTTAATCGCTGGTCTGCTTGGATAACATCATCCATGAAAAGTACTTACCAAAGTGTTAATACAGATAGAATTGAGAACACAGGCTCCATTTCGACACTCATCAATGTCAGTGCAGATCTAGTGCAGAAAAGTTTAAAGAGATACTCTGTTTAAGCAGAAATGCAAATAAATTTTGCTTTGCTAGCTTTGTGTGAATTTCAGATTCAGTGTTAATAGGAACGTCACTTTAGCCACCTCCTTGTGTTTGGACCTGTCTGGACTTAACCTAATTTCAAGTGATAGCTGCAGACTTGGTATTTCAAGTTGTTCAGAAAACACAACTGGTATGGTTAATCTGTTCTACAAACTTTTTACTCAGGAAGATTCTTCTCTATCCTGCTTGGTACTCCATGTACTTCTGCCTGAGGATTCCTAGCTTGCTTCAATTCTGGAGAATTCTCAGCTTCCCTCTGCTCTTACTCTCTCAATTCTTTCTTTGGAACTACAATTAAGCACTTATTAGACTTTCTCATTCATCTCTTCTTTTGACTCTTAACCTCTTGTTCATATTTTCCAGATCTCTACTTCTCTGTGCTGCATTCTGGATGATTTCCTTAGATCCACTTTCCATTTTATACATTCTCTGATAGCTGTCTTACCCAGCTAATGGGTTTTATGGGTTTTTGTTAGTTGGTTGGTTGGTTGGTTTTAAGTAGGCTCCGTGCCCAGTGTGGAGCCCAACACAGGCCTTGAACTCATGACCCTGAGATGAACACCTGAGCTGAGATCAAGAGTCAGATGCTTAACCAAGTGAAGCACCCAGATGTGCCCCCCCGCCAATCTATTGAGTTTTTAATGTCAATGATTACATTTTTCATTGAAGAAACTTGACTATTTTTCAGAGTTGCCTTTTTTTTCACATTGCCCTATTTTTTAGTTATGGTATCTATTCCTTCCTTTTTCTCTTTATCCTTTTGAATTGCTTTGATTGTATCATGTTTCCTCATGGTAGCTTCTTCATGTAAATCACCATTTTTATTTATGAACCTATCTGTAGTGGCTCTGTTTTCGCATGTTCCACTGGCACTGAGTTTCAGAGTCTCTTCACAAGTGGTATGGCTTTGACATTAGCCAGGACCCTAGGGATTTTACTGCTCCAGGGATAATTTTTCTGTTAATTTTCTGGTTTGTATTCCCCATTATATGTGTAACATAGATTTGAAGCTCATAACAGTATGCGGTACAAACTTGGAGCTTTGATTTGTTGTGGGCAATTTTCCTTTTTGTCAACCATGTCTCAGAGATGACATCCAGCTTCCTTGTCGCTTGTGGGGGCTAGTAGTTTTCTCATCTCCTTTTAATGGGTAGGGTAGCTCTTTGAGACCCGTGTCTTTCTGAAGGGGTGTTATGTCTTTCTCAACGTCCACATAGATGCTGAAACCCTGGCTCCCCACTCCAAGGGCCTACACCCTGCTCCCACCTCCCATGAGCATGAATTTGTTAAGCTGTAGCAAGTGGCTTCCTTCTACTTCCGTTCAGTCTACCATATTGTTGGAAATCTTACTAGCTCACATAAAGCACTGACTATTTCATTCTGTCTATTTTCCCTGGTTTAGTCTTGGAGATTTTGTCTTTAGAAGAGAGGAAGAAAAACTCTGGGTCATTACTCTAATGGCTTCTTGTCACTCCTATGTGTCCAGCTTGCCCCCTTTTTATAGTCTAAAAAAAATGATGCCCTCTAGAATCCTTTGATAGGCAGCTAGAAAATAATGAACTCCTGTCCTTCTTCAAACCTAATAATTTCCCTAAGGTAGTAAAATATATTTATAGACCAACCATTTTTAAGGGCTGAAAACATCAAAAAGAATTTCACAGCCAGTCAAATAATGGCCAGGATATAGTAGAATATTTGGAAACAAATGGAGACTGTCACAAAGTGCTCAAGTGCTTTACGGCAATTTATAGCTTATATAAGAAGAAGGGGGGTTTCCTCAGGGGATTATTTCTACTCTTGAAATCCTCTCATCTCTGAACTAGCTTCTTATCAGCAACAGTGACTCTATAAACGTGACCTAATTTTCAAAGCTTTTATTTGTTTCCCTGATTCTCAAGTTATTCTGTGGGACAAAATGTTCAATGGCTAACAGAAGAGACTTGAAATCACACCACATATTTAATATTACCCCACTCACTGTTTTCCTAGCGACACTCTATTATCCTGATTTAACAGCTTCCTTCCTACCAGACATCATGAACATACACGCTCAGAAAGGAGTCGGAAAGTGTCCTCATTTGCCCACTGTGCACTGTGACATTCCATGTGGCACTTGGCAGTTCAAAGAGAAAGAGGTGGGAAAAAAACCCAAAGTTTTTCTGTTTGTAATTCAGATTAAAAAAAAAAAAATGAATAGAAAGACCATCACTTCAGCCCACCTGCTTGTTTGACTTGGCAAAACTGATGCCGACACCCTGTACCACGGGCCCGGTGAAGCCCACTGGGCAGGCCTCACATCGGAAGCCAGGAGCCAAGTTCACACAGCGCACGCCTGGGTAGCAGGGATGGTATTTGCACTGGGAAGGAAAAACAAACAAACAAACAAACCCCAAAGTCTATAGCTACACAGGGAAAACACAAACTTTCATTCATCTATTCAGACATGCTTATTTACTTAACTACCCTAGACACACGCAGTATGGGGTTGCCTTTTAGTGGGCTTTGCTGTATCACAGAATAATGGCATGGCCAAGTGAAAAGGTCCTTCATGATCACCAGTCTACCTCCCCATGTCAATTCCCTGATATTCTACCTTGTAATGTAAAAATCACCATGAGGGGGATGGGGGGATGGGTTAGCCTGGTGATGGGTATTAAAGAGGGCATGTACTACATGGAGCACTGGGTGTTATATGCAAACAATGAATCATGGAACATTACATCAAAAACTAATGATGTAATGTATGGTGATTAACAAAAAAAAAAAAAACCCCACCATGAAAGGACAGTGCTCCTGGACCACTTGTCAGCTGGCTGTTAGATTAATCCAAACACACTGCTGAACCAACTTCTCAAATGAAGAGATCCAGAGAAGACAAAGCCAGGGTACTTGTGTTTTTGGTAAGATGTGGTCTATCAATCAGGGTCTGTGCCTCCTTTCATGCCCTGTCAAGGCCACGGCTCTTCCAAAGCTCTTGGAGTCTAAGAGACTGGTTCTTTTTTTTTTTTTTTAACCACTTCAACTAATGTAAAAAACATGACCACTTCCTGCACTTTCAAAAGGAGGAAAATTCCAGCTCACAGACAGAAACCAGATGCCGTTCTGTGAAACATGCATGATGATTCTGCAATTGAGGGATCACTACAGACCAACTTAATTGCTTACTACCCTCCCCTGGCCTGGTGGGAAGGGAAAGGCGTATTTCTGATGGTAGCCTTGCTACCTACGTGAACACTGCTTTGGGACTGGACTACCGACTGGCTAACCACGCCCTCGAGTCAGTCTCCTGCGGAGGCTTTGCAAGCTGGCCAAACAGCCTGTACTCACTGTATGTGTCTCTCTGGCTCCATCCTTCAGCACTTTCGATTACTCACAACTTATAGGACCTCCTCAACAGGGCTTGTCGGTTTGAGAGTCCCCTCTGCATTTCTAATTTAGGAAGGCTGAAGAAATTAGTTGCAAGCCCTGAAATACACCCTAACACAGATCTTCCTCCTCCCACATATGTAGAAGTGTAGAAAAATCAAAACTGTAATGTTGACTGCATACGAGAAGTCATCAATGTTGGAGTACAAATGTCAGCACGGTAGCAACATGGCCCAGGGGAGCAGCTGGAGACATGGAGAGAAGATACGATGAACGTAGCCACAATGGCGTGTCATGCCTCCTTCGTCCCCCTGCTCACGGTCGCTTGTGGTCTCTAAGGGTTCATGAGGGTGTAGTTTTTATGTCACCCGGAGAACACCCCAAGTCATCCCTTAGTCATCCACCTGGCTGTAGGGTGTCCAAGATACTTAGGGAGCCTCTACCCCATCAAGCTGAACTTTTACCTCATCAATATCGGAACAGGTGATCCCATTTCCTGTGTAGCCGTCGGGGCAGGGCCCACATTGGAAGCCATCTCTGGTGTCCGTACACCGGACGCCACGGAAACATGAGTTGGAATCACAACGGCGCACTGGGGGTGTCGGGGGGGCTGGGGGTGCTGGGGGCACCAGTGTGTTTGGGGTTGGGGACTGAAAGCTGAGTGGACCTAGAGAAAAACAATAATCCACAGACTTAGTGACCACCAGAAAAACAGAGCTGATACAAAATGAAATTTGGCTTCCCAACGAGCTCTCCCTTCTCCAGCTGTGCCAAATGTCCAGAAACCACAGTCAATGTAGCCTCACCCCAGGCCCTTCATCCATCCTCACGTGCCCATACAACTCAGAATGAAGCTGTTATTGGAACAGCACTTACCGCAAGCCTGGCACTCAGCTATGGTGTTTCGCAAAAATGAGGTTTCCTTGACCTTTAGAAACAGGAAGGGAAAAACAAGATGGAAAAGGAGGATCTAATACGTAATCCAGGAATGAAAGAATTCATGTGTAGCAATCTAGTAAACACTTTTTTTTTTTTAAAGATTTTATTTATTTATTCATTAGAGACAGAGAGAGAGAGGCAGAGGGAGAAGCAGGCTCCCAAGGAGCAGGGAGCCTGATGTGGGACTCGATCCCAGGAGCCTGAGATCATGACCTGAGCCGAAGGCAGACGCTTAGCCATCTGAGCCACCCAGGCGCCCTAGTAAACACTTCTTAAGGGAGTACTCAGGTAGCCCTTGAAGGCTCCCTCTCTGCTCAGAGCCATGGTGTGTTTCTCACACACCTATCCCCCATTTCCAGAGCCCTAAGAGACCTCCAGGGTGGTGGGTGCACGGGGCCACGGAGGTCTGCCCCCTCGTCCGCCTCCCCGCCTCTGCAGTTCCACTAGCTCGTACAATGAGTTGCTCTGGCAGGACTACGGTTTTCTGATGCTTCGTCCTCATCATTACCTGCTGTCTCAGAAGATCCTTCACCTCTCCCAGCAGCTGGTTTAGTTGCGTCATTTGCCCCAAGAACTGCCGATTAAAGTCTCCTGTAGCAATAATAAAAGACAAGGAGCATTCAGCCATGAACAGACGCTCCTACAGTGGCTCAAAAACAAATGATTTCCCAGAGAACCACCATGACAAATACCTAGGGCACAGGAATTTAACTTGGGGTAATTCATCTAATTCACCTAAAAAATGATAATGATGCCACTGGCTGTTAGCCCAAATTCCCGAGTTATAAAAATAAAAATTGTAATGGAGCTATTTCTTGTCCTGGACTTTGGTACAAGAGCCTGATTTCTGTAGACACATCAGGATGCTTTCTGCTGAAGTCCCCCTTTCAGCGATGGGACCCAGTGCCCTCGGGGGCTGAGGCTTTATCTGGATTGATGGAGGCGTGCCAACTGCCCAAGAGCCCACACCTGTGCTCGGGGCGGCCAGGGGCTCACTCTGCTGCAGGAAGCAGTCTTGCAGGCTGGCCACCTGGAACAGCGAGGCTCTCACCACCAGCTTCAGCTCCTCCAAGAAGTCCTGGAAGAAATCACATTCATACCACACATTGCTGACACTGCTCAAAAGCCAATGTGCTTGCATACTCATCCGATTTTCCTAACAGGCTAAGTAGCCCTGTATCCTTGGACTCTGACATCTTACATAATTTTGTGGGTTTGATTTTTTCCTAAAACCTGCCAGCCCTATCCTTTTGACTGAAGCAAATATGGAAGGAGCCAATAGCCTAGGAACATGTTAGCATCCAGCTTGGCCTGAGGGTTCATCAAGGTAGATCTGAGAAGAGGAAAGGCTTTGAGTTTCATGGTACACAAGTTATTTTGTGGCAGGAGCCTGTTAAGAATTGTCTGGAATTTGTTTATGGAGTTTAGACCCTAATAAATAAGATACTGATCTCAATTTTAAACACTATTGTTTTTAGGATGTCTTAACTCCAGGTTTTAGCAAAGTCCCTGACCGTCTTGGGCTAGGAGAATGAATAAACAGTTTATCCTATGGTTATTAGATAGCTGGAATCATATTTTTACATTGTGGGTTGATATCAATCATTCATTGTTAGTCACAACATCAATTTCCTCACCCCTTTATTTTTTAACTTTTGATTGTACCATTATATATTCATGACAGGAAAAAGTTTATGTTAATTGCTAATATAAAGTCATCATCCTTATTTTAAAAATGAGGATGCTAAGGATTTTCAGAGGAATTCTATTTTTCAATTTAGCTAAGTTACGACATATACAACACATGTTGTATAATGGATATTGTTCTGGACATCCGGCTATGAGCTCTATGGGGGCAGGGCCATGACCATTTTGCCCACTATGCTTTATCCCTAATGCCTAGAATATACCTATTTGCTAATTCACTGAATAAATGAAGTGACTATGAAGATAGAGCACTGTAGTCTCTGACAGTCTAAGGATTTAGAACTTTTGAAAAAATCCCGATAAGTATAGTTTCCGACGACCTTGTCGTGGCTGACTCCTGGCTTTTAGAAATTGACTTATTTGGTGGTAGACACTAATTTCTGAAATGGCAGTGATATAATTTCTATCATTCTGATTATTTGGGCTACTTTGGGGATTCAGAAATAAAGTTCTGCATATCTCTCTATTCACTATTCTTTTTCTATGTAAATCTATACTTAGTATAGAAACATCTTCTTTTTCAGCAAAAAACAAAACAAAATCCTTGGATTTTAGCTTTCTTGCAATTTCTGTTTGAAGATGCTTCCTATTTTCCAAGCACAAAATTCTAGTATCAGATTCATAGTTTTTATATTATTATGTAAAACTTCTCAGCATTCCTAGTTGTAATGATTATTATTATTTACACCCAGCCTCTTTGTACAAAGGGCTCAGAGCAGCTTGTAACTAAAGCACATATAATAAAATAATAAAATAGAAATGCAAAGTGAGGATTGAGGCACAGAAAATAACATTATGGACCATAAAAGATGAACACAGTTACTGATTTGGCATTGACTTCCACATCAGATAAAAGTCGGGAACTATGACCAGTAATAGTTATAATTAATGGAAAAGGACAAAGAATGCTAGTTCTTTATAGGAAACAAACTACTTCCTAACACAAAAGAAATACATGTGGCAATTTCTACAGTAGGTATCATGATATAATAAAAAATACCATCAACATGGCATAAAACAGACGACAGAGGTGATGGAACTTTTTTTTTTTTTTAAGATTTATTTATTTATTTGACAGAGAGAGAGACAGCGAGAGCAGGAACACAAGCGGGGCAGTGGGAGAGGGAGAAGCAGGCTTCCTGCTGAGCAGGGAGCCCGATGAGGGGCTCGATCCCAGGACCCTGGGATCCATGACCTGAGCCAAAGGCAGACGCTTAATGACTGAGCCACCCGGGCGCCCCATAGGTGATGGAACTTTTAAGGCCTCATGGAACTAAGTTGGCAATAAGGTCCTTTTTTTGTTAGGGATGCTCTAAAAAGACCTGTGAAAATGTCGTTTCTAAGTGCTTGACAATTTCCAATCATTCTTTATCACTTTTGTTAAAAATAATAAATAATATCATTATAGAAAAATTAAAAGTAAATCCTACTGTCCTAAGATTTTGTTTTTGTTTTTTGTTTGTTTTAAATAACCTCCATGCCCAACGTGGGGCTCGAACTCACGACCCCACTCTCAAGAGTCACATGCTCTACCAACTGAGCCAGACAGGCACCCCCTAAGATTGCTTTTTTAAAATTTTTGCTAATCCTTTCCAACTCCACAATTATATCCAAAAAGGCTTCACCTAGCATCTAAAGCAGAAGCTTTCAATTTTAGCTTCCCATTAGTATTAATATTTTAAAAAATACCTATACCTAGGCACCCCTTCAATAGCTTCTGATTCAATTTGTCCTGAGGGTGGGCCCTCTAGCGATAGTTTGAGTTCCTCAGGTGATTCTAATTACACAGCCAGCCCCACTCCTGACCTCGGCATATTCCTCTGCATTCCCTGAGCCTGGGCAACCCATCTTTCCACGTTGGAGAACGGTTTGTGGGTGCCTACCTGTGCCTTCCTCTGGAAAGTCCTCAGTTCAACAGACTCAGGACTCTGGGAGGGGCTGGAAAAGGCTCTGGGGAGATTGTGCACAGAATCCACTTGGGTGCAGTCCAGGTAGAGCTCTACAGAGCCAGCCCCTCGCTGCAAGTTGGTCAGTCTCAGGAGGACCCTGTGCCGCCTGCCATCAGCCAGCTGCAAGTTGTTGAAAACCACCAAATGAATCTTCCCATCGTTCTTCAGGTAACGGAGGATGGCTGGAACCAAGCACATATCAGTGAATGATGAGATAAGGAGAGTCAGGGGGCAAGTATCTGCTGAACAGCCTCCAGGTCACAAGGCTGGGTTACTGGAAAGAATCCAAGTAAGCTGGAACCAGAAATATTCAACATCTTAAGTGCCAGGCGTTGTTTGTTTGTTTGTTTGACAGAGAGAGAGACAGCGAGAGCAGAAACACAAGCGGGGGGAGTGGGAGAGGGAGAGGGAGAAGCAGGCTTCCCGCCGAGCAGAGAGCCCGATGCGGGGCTCGATCCCAGGACCCTGGGACCATGACCTGAGCCCAAGGCAGACGCCTAACGCCTGAGCCACCCAGGCGCCCCCACCAGGCGTCGTTCTGATGGCATTGGCAACCCACTCTGTTACTGAGGATGTTTTGTGCTCAAGGAAAGACAGACAGTAAGTAGCAAATCTGAAAATGAACAATTTCAGACAGTGATAAGTACAATGAGGAAGCAGAACTCATCAAAAGTCAACTGAGATCCAAGTAAGCTCCTCAACGCATAAATTAATTTACCAAACATTTACTGAGAACTACACTGTGGGACTGGGTGCTGCCCTGAGTTGCTTTCAATATTTAATTTCTATTTGTTGCAACACTAGCAAACTGGAGTAACTTCCAGATGACAAAAGTGAAGCTCAGGTGAGTGAAGGCACTTGCTCAAGGACACTGTAAGTGGCAGGCCTAGAATTTGAAACTGGGTGTGGTTTATTCCACGACTGAAAGAATGTGACGTATGGATAGGCCTTTGTAAGCATATACCGAATGGAGTATAATCTGTCATACTGTCCCTCAGCAACCTATCTTCAGTTTAACAATGCTCAGAGAACCAAAGATATCCGTGGTCCAAAAGAAGGACTAGGAGAGGATCCACTACCTCATTTTCTCTTTGTTTTTTCTTTTTCTATGCAGGTAGCTATCTATTCACTTATCTTGTTAAGCCTAAGCACTTTCACTTTTTGTTAAATAAAAATTTATACACATTTCAGGATTCTGGTTTTCTGTCTGGTTTTACTCCATTATTGTCTTGAGTTTATTGAGCCCTGAGCTAAAATCTGTTCCTGGCTGCTGAGCCTTTGGGAGTAAAGCCCATTGGGTGTGGTTTGCTATAAAGACGAAAGTGAATTGCTTCCAAGGGCTTAGTGAGCCTACCAAGAACACCTCCAGATCCATTCATAGGTACCGTTGCCAAACCCAAGTTCATTACCAGCAATCATTTCAGAAATATGTAAGAAACATTTGGCACAACATGTATGTATAAAAAGAGAGGGCGGGCTGGCTACTTAAATTATGATGTAATCATGAAATGGAATACAATGGAAAAGGTGCATACTAAAAACACAGAAGTGTTCCCAGTATTTTGTTGAGTGAAAAAAGGGTTGAGTCACAGTGTAATTTCATACAGAAAAAATATACAGAAAATTAGAAGGAAATATGTCAACATTAATATGGTCATTGTTGGTTGCTTGGATGATGTGTTTTTCCTCTTGCTCATCTTCATTGTCTAATTTTTGCACACGAAACATGCATTACTTATAAAATACACACACACACACACACAAAGAAATGAATTACACACATATATCCAGACTGTGCTTCTGTCAAGCTGTAGGATTTGTAGCAAGTAACTTGGACTGTCTTTCCTCAGGTACCTTTTCTGTAGAGTACAAATGCCAATTTGGTGCTGCCTCATGGAGTAAGCAGCCTGTTTATGTTGCAGTACTACCAGAGAAAATAATCACTGCTGTGAAACTTTAGAGTTTATTTGAAGGCTTCCTCCAAATATATTACACTTTCTAGGTGGGTATTCCCACTGCTTCTCAAATCTGACTGGGTCTGCTTTTCCATTTGACCATGGCTGGAGAGGGCCAGATGGCTTTAGGTCCTGTGATGTAGAGAGATGCTAGGAGGAGTAAGAAGATCTTCTTTTATGCTTATGTGGTCGCCACCACTTGCTTACCAAGAGAAAAGAATTGGTAAGACCGGGGCGCCTGGGTGGCTCAGTCGTTAAGCGTCTGCCTTCGGCCCAGGTCATGATCCCAGGGTCCTGGGATCGAGCCCCACATCGGGCTCCCTGCTCCGCGGGAGGCCTGCTTCTCCCTCTCCCGCTCCCCCCGCTTGTGTTCCCTCTCTCTCTGTCAAATAAATAAAATCTTTAAAAAAAAAAAAAGAATTGGTAAGACCTGGCAAGACAGACTGACTAGGAAAACTTTCTATGACTATAATACAATACTAGGTTTCCTGAAGTAAAGTACTGGTAAGATGTAAATAAATATGGCATGAAAAGAAAGAATGAGAAGGAAGAAAAGAGACAGGAGTAGAAATTCTTGATATTTTAAATATGGGATACCACAGAATTTTTACCTCTTTACTTAATATTGTTGAGAATTTAAATAGTAACTGCGTAGCTGGACACTGGAGGCATATATGGTACCCAAAAGGGGGAAAATTGACCAAAACATATGCACTAATTCAACTCTTTAAAGATTGTATTTATTTATTTGAGGGGGGGGAAGCAGAGGGGAGAGAGACAAGCAGACGTGAGGTTAAGACCCCAAGACCAAGACCTGAGCTGATACCAAGAGTCAGACACTTAACCTACTGAGCCACCCAGGTGGCCCACTAATTCAACTTTTTTAAACTTTTAAAAATTTTATTATGTTATGTTAATCACCATACATTACATCATTAGTTTTTGATGTAGTGTTCCATAATTCATTGTTTGCGTATAATACCCAGTGCTCCATGCAGTATGTGCCCTCTTTAATCCCATCACCAGGCTAACCCATCCCCTCATCCCCCTCCCCTCTAGAACCCTCAGTTTGTTTCTCAGAGTCCATAGTCTCTCATGGTT